CAGGAAGGCAGTACACAGTGAACAGTTACGCAGCTGACTCATTTGACCCCGAATATCAATGCGCTGCATTAGCAGAAAAGTTATTGTTCATATCTATCATTAGCAAGAACATCTTGAGCTAAAAGAGGTTAATTTCCCTTCCCCTTTGTAATATATGCTTATTCCGAGCAATCAAAAATAATTCAAGTAGAAAGAAAGGAGTCCCAATTTGAGTTTATAAATCGTTTTCCATACACTGCTAAGGTTCTCTAAAACCTGAGTTTAAAGAGATTTGAGATTTATTCAACAACAGAAAGCCCAAAAATGAGTCCCATTCAATTTAGTCAAATTATGCAAACCAGGATTACAAGTCAGAGTCTAAATTCTGTCTGTTGTCTCCAGAGCCCTCTTAGACTAATAAAAGGTCGTCTTCCCCCTCTCCCATGGAAAGCTCTGCTAAAAGCCTGCTTCAGCAAAGGAGGACTGGCAGGACACCTTCCAGAGTCCATCAGTGCTACTGCTGGGTCAGCAAAAAGAGTTGCAGCAAAATGATGCAAGACACTTAAGCTTCCCTTGAGATTGCAAGGATTATTTCCACAGTACTCTCCTAGCCCTAGGAGCAAGAAGCCAAATTCAAAATAATCTCTGCATGCTGTCCTTTAGAGGCAGGTAATGAACTTTTACTTGAAAGACTGAAAATTTCAGAAAGATTCTAGCTTATTTGTTACGTCTTATTTTGCAAGACGCTGGTGAATAAAACTCTCTGCCGCAGATTAGGTCAGCGGCAGCATAATCCAGCAGCACAAACCCTGAAGTAAACACACGTGATACCACAAGTACCGATGAACATGCAGTCTACAGAGATACTCCTAAGGCCCCTCAGTCACTGCAGTTTACACAGAACCTCTCAGAGACACAGGATCCAACACGAACATAACCTCTCTGCAGTTCAGTCTCTGCTGCTCTGCTGGTTACATCCACATGTCACCGTAAAATGCTTCTAATGATTTGAGAGCCTTGTCTACGTTTCTAGATGCTCACCCAACAGCTGCCTCACTCTCCACCCTCAGGAGAGTGGCTGTGTTTTGCAAGATTCACTGGTCACCCGAAGTGTCTGAACAAACCTGTTTGGCAGAAAGCTGTCTCATGACAGAGAAAAGCTTGACTCTAACAAATTCAGAGACCAAAGAAAAAACAAGCCTCCTTTATTTGCCTTTTGATTGACAGCTTACTTGCACAATAATTTTCTGTAGTCACAATGTCCAGACTACTACTAACAAACCTGAAGTAAACAAATGCTGGCATCAATTATCACTATGGCAATGAACCCACCCCCACAGTCCTCTAAGTGGCATACAGAAAATTCAGATAGGAGGGGAATCAGTGCATGAATAGCCAGACTGGAGACTGTGATGGATACGGTTTGCCAAATATAATTAAGTGGTATATTTTTGACACAATTGAAAGTCAATGGAAAAGATGATGGTATCAAGCCAATTTATACAAAATAATTATATTACATCGAGGTAATGGAAAAGCTCCCGTACTGAGCCGCCCTGAATCTACACAAGATGGGCTTAAATACCAGAGGAGATCTGAATGACATAGGAGAGGCATACAGTACAAGGCAGAATAAACGGAGGTCAAGCAAGCAAGGAAGTCAAGAAGGAGATGCATACGTACACAGATGGAGAGAAAAGGAGGAGCAGGGAGAGACAGAAAGTACCTGGAAAGCTGGGAGTGCGCCAGTCCCTGGGTTATACAGGCATCGCAGCGAGGGCATGCTGTCCGCCAGGCTGGAGCAGCCCAGCCACAGAGATCTGGGCATAGAGCACTGCAGAGAAAGGACAACTATGAGATGGGACTGTATGAGACAGGATGGCACAGATTACAGGAACTTTCAAGGCTTAGCCGAATGGCATCAACACAACTGCACCTGGCCTTAAAGACTGAGACATCCCTAAGAGAACACAAACTGCTGATGAGTCTTTTCGTTGGGAGAACCTTTACAGATGTCATAGTAGCAAGAAAAAGGCATTACAAATCAAGAAGGTAAATTTTTGACCAATTTTCTACACCAATGTGTGAGTTTTTCCAGTAACAAAAAGTTTCTTTCCAACTGATCGGACCTCTTCTCCATGCGCAGCCACACTCCATGCACAATACAAAGCAAGCAACTTTGCAAGGGAAGCAGAAAGGGAAATGACAACTTGAAGTGTAGTAGTACTGGCAGGGAAAGAAAAGGTTTTGTATGTTTGGTTTTTGTCTGTGAAGGAGATAAAAGGAAAAATCTGCAAAACAAAGTGAATAGGAACTTGGTGACACGAAAGTTTCATGTTTCTGCTTGCCTTGTTATTTGTTAAATAAAACACAATTATTATAATAAATTGATTCTGTTCCTCCAAACACAAATACAAAAAAGCAGCCAATCAAGGAGAATACTAGCCATTTTGATAGTTAAAGCCATTACTCCCTGAAATATAGAGAGTTGCTTGTTCATTTCACACCACTACTATTAAATTTAGGGATGTGTTATGATAGCAATTGCTTTTACCAGCCACAGAGTTTTTGATGCCATAAGGACTGCTGCATTTGTCTAATTACTGGCAAGGCAGGAGAAAAGAAGTATATTTAAAATGGGGAGATAGATATGAAAACTGTAGGATGTGATAGATTAGATGCTAGAGATTTCCAACCCTCATACTCTTCTTTTTTGCAATCCTCTTCCCCCCTTTTTTTTATGAAGGGGGATGGGAGGAAATCTGAGTGGAAAGGGCAGCTGGAATGGGTATGAAATGACAGCTGCCTTTGAGTCACCATTTCTCGCTGCTCTTAAGAAGGATAGAAAACCTTGCACAATCTTGCACTAAATTAGTATGTAGGAGCAACGTAACCCATCCTTGAACGAGCAGAAAGGTGATCACCAACATCCATAATCTGGTACTGTGCAGACAGCCACAGAGAGATTAACCCTGTCTATCACCATGTTCGTTGATGTATTTTGTTGCCATTTACACTGCTGTTCCAGAAATAGCATTAAAAGACTGCTGGGGAACATAACCTATACAAACGTGCTTCTTAGAAGTTTATGATATCTTAAAATAAATTCCTCACCTTGTTTTTGGTTTTAAAAAAACTCTTCACTTAACAAAGATACTGAAGCTTAAGAACTTGAACACTTTCTATTATTACACATCACATGAATTTGTAGATAACACCCCTCCTGAAGACAAAAAAATTACAACCATAGTATTATAACATGCAACAAAAATCTGAACCATACTTCCTTGTCTGCCATCCTAACCTCCCAGAAAACTAACGCTCCCACATAAAAAAAACCTTTCAAATGCCAGGAATCTTTTCTTTGTAATGTAATATGTATCACTCCAGCTATTACAAGCTGTTGTGACAATTAGTCTTAAAAAAATAAAAATATATATATGAAGTGGACGTCTGTGGTTGAGCATTTCACCAAATAAGTAATACATTGACCTAAATTGAAGTTGTTTATCACTCTCTAAGAATATCACCGTAACAAGGCAGATTAACTACAACATGGTACCTCCAGTGATGCAGAGCAAATTCGGTAGGTAAGTATCAGCTGCTTAACATCACCTACCCTAGGATTCATAACATAATACAAAATAAATATGAGGGGTTTTTTGATTTGTGGTTTTGGTGGTTTTTTGTTGGTTGTTGGTTGTGGGTTTTTTTTGCATACAGACTTATCAAAGTCTCACTCCAACCATTTATTCCCTCTTCTCAGGCTTTCCCATCTCTTGTGCTGGCTCAAGTTTTTGTGCTGTGATAATGAACTCAAAGAACTGACTGCCATTAAAATTAGATTGACAAGATAAAAGAGGTTACTTTAAATGTTTGTACTGACCAAAGCATGGAAAGACATAGAGTCAGGAAAAACGAGGAACACTCTGTCAGTGGCAAGGTAAGCTTATGTTGCCTCAAAGTTTATGTGAGATTATGTCTCAAGTCAGAGTCACTACAAGCTGCAGGTACGGCACCCCATTGTGCCAGGGCACTTACAAGGTAATGAAATGTCTTCCTCTAAAATTGCCATGATAACAAAGGAAAGCACTGGAAGTCTGTTCTGCAGAACTCCCTGCACTTACAGAGGATATCATTACTCACCCATGCACTCTCACTGCTTAGTATTATTCCAAAATCAGGAAGCATGTGGTAAAAAATTACCAACACCTTACTTGATTTCTGAATCCGCTCCAGTATATAACAAAATTTATCTTACTGATACAGTTCTGTTACCCATCTTAAAAATTAGTGTGAAGTTGCACACAGTGTGGGAGAAAATGTCATTCCTGTACTTGCCTTTTACCTATTGAAGGAAGCAGAGACGCTAAATTACTGTTGGTGACTGAAAGAGGCTTATTCACAAGCATGAACAAAAGGCCCCAGGTGCTTCAACAGAAACAGCTTGTGTGTAAATCAGATGAGTGACCCAACAGAACAACTTCATTTACAGCCTGATCTCTGAAAAATCCCAACAGCCTCTGTCCCCATCCACTGAGCAAGCCACGTGTCAAACACTCACTTTTGTACTGTCAGCTCCACAAACAAGGGACTGGCCTCAATGTTCACTACTTGAGAGCTGACTGACAAAATCCTCTCCTGAACTCAAGTCAATCTACATTGATTCTTCAAAACAAAGATAGAGAGGCACAGCGTTTGGACTACAGCCAAATGGGAATGCTGATACTGCTTGCTAAGTACAGGGGCAGGATGCAGCAGTCTCTACTTTCCTGACTCCTGATTGCTTTAATACTTCGGATGTCTGCACAACTTTCAGACCCAGAGACGCAAAGCTTTTGATTTATAAAAGCTAACCATCTCCAACACACACTGAGTGGCATAACACAGGGAATTATTTGACAAAATACAGATTACTTTTTTTTCCAACTGATTTTTAAGTCCAATTCCCTGAACTCTGAAATATATTTTTCAGCTAAAGAAATACAGGGAATACAGTTTCAAACAAGACCAGCACCCTCCTCCTGACAGAAGCTGGCACCAGCTGCTCCACTGGTGATTAAAATGTGCTTGCCTTATTTTGAATTAAAATAAGTTAAAAGCCTTCACAGTCACTGGCTGAGCTGAGTGGGCAGTAACTGTGAGCTGAAGGGAAGCAGTATTTTAACCCATTCAATTATTCTTGTAACTATATTATTGCAAGAACATTTTTGACTACATCAGATGTTCTGCCTCTAATAACCTACCCTCTCTTCCAATTATGTGATGTCCTAAAGACAAATCTCAATACCCACTCAATGGTTAAATTTTTGCCAGTGCTAAAAATTGGTTATTTACTTTATTTGTGATTGCATTACAAGTTTATACATTACAATTTCAGACTTTTTTTTTTTAAAATCAAATTTGTTCTTTTCTAGTCCTTCAGCAAATACAATATACTAGGGGTAACTAACATAGTTTTAGTAAATTGTGTTACAGGTCAGAAATACATCACCTTGTCCTGTAAAACTAAGCGGCTCTACATGGGGGGAAAAAAACAGAAGTTCCTAGACTACTACAATTTACAACTATAGTGCACAGGCATGAAAATACAAATTAATTGTACTGAACTCACTGTAAAACAAGAACAACAGTGAAAAAAAAACACCTATCACAACAAAAAACCCACAAACAATAGTTAACCATATTTTCTTTACAAACACTTTGGAAAAATTAATTAGACAGCAGTACAGAATTACTGTCTTTAATTGTGGTGCATTTTAACATATTAAAGTGTAATAGCCGACGATCCCTGCCTGAACCCTGCACTCAATCTTATGATAACCTGTACGCCTAAAACGCCTTTGATTTACAGGCAACCTAACATATTTTTGCACATCTTCACAAGTTAGTGACAAAGTCAAAAAGGAAACCCAATTTTTTCCCAAGGGCTGTTTTTTTGGTCAACTGTACGTAATAGTAATTTCAGCTGCTAACCACATCTATTTCAGTCCTTCCCTAGTTCAGAATTATTTCCCTTGTAGTGCAGTGTCCCGTGCTTTATGCAGCTGAACTTTAAAGATAAACCAGTAAGAATTTCTGCTTCTCTTGGAAGATGAGAATTAAGATCCTGATCACCCAATATTCTCATTAAGGAGCATAAATAGAATGAGACACAGGTTGACAATTGCTGAGGAGTTCAAAGACTAAGAGAAATGGGACTTTTTCTGGTTGGTCCAGCCGATCATAAGCCAGGGAACTGGATAAGGCTACACAAAATAAAAGAAACATGAGTTGTAACTATTACAAAAACCAGGACAAGAGAGGAAAAGAAGTGCTAGAAATTCTACCACTTAAACTGGAGTGGATGAAACATAAGAGATGCTCTGAAGAGTACTAAAACTACATACACCAGACCTGAGCTTGATATGCAGACACGTCTTT